GCACACCCCCGGGCCTCGCGGGGTTTGAGTGTGTCTCCGCGGGGAGCGGGCACCCCCTGGGACTGGGCAGGGCGACAGGCTCTCTGTCCTCCTCCTGTGTCCCGTCCTCGGCATATGTGTGACCGCTGTTGCTGCCCTAACAGGAGTCTCCTCGGGCTGCAGGGGGTGTTTTGTGGAAGTAACTGTGCATGATATCGTTAGATCTGTTTCACTTCCTGTTTCCTGTAGAGAAACGATCTCTTGGCAAAGAGATGAGCTACACTCTCCATTCATTAATATGAATCATTCTTTGTCTCTTAAAAGTGGTGCATTTTATATAGAAACCAGTTTCTAGGTGGATTCGGCTGTGTCCGTTCGCCCTGTGCCCGGGGGTGTGGGTGCCCGGGTGTGTGGGTGCCTAGGTGTGCGGGTCCCGGGCGTGTGGCCCCGCGGACGGCCTTTCCCCCGACACCAGCTACTGTTTCCTCAGGCACATTATTAAGTAAAACATGTTCACTTGGGGCCCCAGGTCTTGGCCTGTGCGGGTCAGGAGCCAGGACAGAAAAGGACACTCCTGCGCCTTCGTGCTGGTTAGAAGTGGACCATTTTTAGCAATTTTCTCACCAGTCTTCTCTTCTAATGGGAGAGCTATCAAATAATGTTTATTTTTTAACTTTAAAATCTTAGTACTTTTTTTCATTGATAAATAGATAAGAATTGCCTCACTGGCTATGTGTCATGAAACATAATTATGCTAGTATCTTGGGGATAAAAAGACAGTTGCACTTCCACATGCCACAACTGTCTTCAGGTTCAGAGAAGGGCCTCTTGGTTCCCCTTTTTCAAGAAATCCACTGTGGAGTCCCTAGCTCTGCGCCTCCCGGGTGAGTCACGGGTAACCGCGGTCTGTCCCTGCAGTGCATCGACCGCGAGGCGCGGGCCGCCAACTTCTCCAGCTCGCTCAGTCTGCCCGACAAGACGCTGCAGTTCGTCAAAGACCACCCTCTGATGGACGACTCTGTGACCCCGACAGGCACCCGGCCCCGGCTGGTCAAAAGCGGTGTGAACTACACCCAGATTGTGGTGGACAGGACCCAGGCCCTGGACGGGACCGTGTACGACGTCATGTTTGTCAGCACAGGTGGGTCCCGGGCCCTGGTCACCCTGGCTACGTCCCGCTGCCCTGTGCCCAGTGGGGCAGCCTCTCCCAGGGGCCCTGGGCAGTGTGCACCTCTGAGAAGTCTCCCCCGTGGCTCCAGATCCGGGACCTCGGACCACCTGGGGCACCGGGGAGAAACGCAGGCCTGGCCCAGACCTGGAAATTCAGGTCGGGTACGTCGGGGCTGGTGCCAAGGGAGCCGGAGGAGAGCGGGGCAGCACCTCCTCCCGCCCGTCCTGACCTGCAGGGGGCACTGTTCCCCGGAGGCCCAGGTGCTGGGCCGGCCTGGGTGCTTCCCAGTCGTGCCTCTGAGCAGCAGGGAGGGCCCGCCCTCCCCTGGGGGGCCACCGAGCAGGATGGCGCCCCAGAGGATGGTGGGGCCCGGAACCCTGCAGGCTGGACGGATGGCAGTGCTGGCTGTGCTGGGAAGGGTGTCGGGTCAACAGTGAGACCTTAGTTTATTCTTCACAAAAACTGGGACGAAGCTGCCACCCGATTCCTGTGGTTTATTTTGCCGTGGCTTTCCCTTTTCCATTTCTAATGCACAAGCGCCGTCCTCGGCTAAGTGTCTTGCTAAGGGCAGGAGCGGAGAGTCAGAGGGGGGCGCTGACAGCTCTGGCAGCGCGTCCTCCTTCCCGGGGTCACTGACCGGGCTCTGACCTTGCAGACCGGGGCGCCCTGCACAAGGCCATCAGCCTGGAGAGCGACGTCCACATCATCGAGGAGACGCAGCTCTTCCAGGACCTGGAGCCAGTTCAGACCCTGCTGCTGTCCTCCCAGAAGGTGAAGGGACTACGTGGTGGGGGCGGCCTCGGGTCTCAGCGGTCCCTGGGCTGGGAGGCGGCCTCGTGACTC